GCTCGCAGCCGTTTCGGGGTGAAGAAATTGGACACGAGAACGGATTCACGGCATATTTCGCTACGTCACACCTGCTTGCCTCGGCTGGTAGAATCAGATTCACGGGAACCTTTATGAGTTATACACGTGTTTGATCAATTCAGTTTGCTGGCGTTTCGTTTTTCAGGTTCATTAGCGTTAATCGACTTGCATTTGCACATGCGTAAGTGTGTACCTGTTAACTGGTTTGAAGTTACCTACCCATGTTCCGGGAACGAAGGAAGAAAGTACGCCTCTTCTCTTAAGGATCGTTTTTCTCCCGTTTCCCGTACCGCGTGCATCCTTTAACGATACTTGCACGGAAGTTGTCGGACGAGGGCGCAGACGAAGGGTTAAAACCAGACACTGTCTACGCCCGCGGGATCCTCGAAGTTTCGGGTAACACGAAAATGGGTAGTTAAGCCGGCAGAGATATCAGTCCCCCCGTCTGGGAACCTCGACGCGACTCATCGCGCTAATTAATATCAATTTCGAGTAATCCAAGCGCGCTTACAGCCCACCCCCTCTCTTTCGCTCTCACAGAAAAATACTCTGCCTCGTTCCCTAGAGCTTAGGAAATCCCATTGAAAAAAAAGAGAAGAGGAGAACCCTGTAATCTACAGCGGGTGCAAATCTTTTCTTTGCTCGATTCCCTAGAATTTTCCGGCCAACAGAAGCTTTTCCAACCGAGCCCAGAGAACGGTGATTTAATCCCCGTCCACGGAACGCTGCGACTTTTGTAACCGAGCCCGCTACCGCCACCACCACCACCAGCGACTCCTCTGTGGCCGTTCGTTCGCTTGTCGCCTTTTAACGATTATTTTTGTCCCCTTTTCTCGCCTGAACCGTGAAAGTCCACTTTCCTGCCGGGGCGTAACGAGCCGCGGCCTTTATGGTACGCATTAATTAAATTAACGGGATCATTAATTGTGGCGTGGCGCGCTTCTTCGACCGTTTCCCTGCCCCCGTGGCGTCCGCAAATCCTGCGGAGAATGGGGACCAGGACACTACTACGGATGGCCAACCCGCTTTACGAGCGGCTAAGAAAGAACCGGTGAAAAGCCGCGCGGCATTGTGCCCGCCGCCGCATCGGGCGTGTTCGAGGGTTTATTTGTTGAAACGACGCGGCGACAAGCTGCCTGAAAATAAAGGGACACACATGGGCGCCGGCTATTGTCGACTCCTGAAATTTACGAACTTGCTGAGAAAGCGGCTTCGCATTACACTGTCGGTCAAAAGTTCGCGATCGTTGCACACACGAAGAAGGAATTTGGATTTCCGATGAAAAGGGCACGGAGGAATGTTCGTACCTTTGTCTGGGGTCATGAGTTTCTTTAATCGAAGAAATGTGAACCTTAATTATCGAAAATAGAGTTTAGGGCCCAGTTTCTTTTAGGAAAATTAAGTAAAGATTTCTAGGTGAGAGTGTTGGTGCGAATACTTTGACACAAACCGTTGGGGGTAAGATCTAACGAAAGTTTAGGCTGCCTTGTCCCTTGGTCTTCTTTCATAGGACGGGAATAGTAATAATTTCTAATAATACATAAACTTATCTCGATAGATCCAGGGAATTGTTAGCTTTGCTTCCATTTCCCGAGTAGAATTGAATTTCATCCGTTTTACAGCCGAAACGTCCGTCGTCGTGTATTATTCCACTTTATCTGGCCTGTCCGGCGACACCATGAAACAATAACAGGATTTCCGGAGTCCCGTCACGCGCATGTTTTTAAATTCAGACGAAATCCGTAAAGTTCCCGAGTATTCTCTCCCACCCTCTTCCACGGTATCGACATTCCTTCCATTCCCGTTCGTAATAACATTGAAATTCAATCCGACGTTCCGCTCGATAAAAGTAAACCTACCAGCTACGGAGTGGCCCCCCTCCGATCATCGTCCTTCAGCCTTGTTCCAATTTTCTCTTAATCTGTGATCCCTGGATCCGAGGGAAACGGCTAAAGTAAAGCAGATAACACGAAGAATTCTGTTCCGAATCTTTTGCAATAATAGAGGAAGTTGGCCGATCCTGGCGATACTGCGAGCTCGAACCTATTCGTATGTCTCCGTTTAATTCCGTCGAGTGCAGTCGAAGTCCTCGGAGAGAGTTTGAAACTCTGAGAAGCGCAAAAATCGAGAACAGATCCTTTCTTTATTACAGTCCTCTCTATTAAACGAATAGGGAAAAAGTCTACAGAAGGGATATAGAGAATCACCAGCTTCGACACTTGCCACGCTACAAACTTTGCCCTGTAACCCTCCCATAACGCATCACTGCAATCATTTTCCATCCTCGCCCTATTGGATGATACAAAAATGCCTGCAAAGAAAATCTGTTTATCCTCGCGAAGGAACACCTGCATAGTTTGTTCGGCGCAGAGAACAACGAAAGGAATTCGCGACACGAGAGGACGAGCAAACATGCTCTCCGTGTCTACCCGTCTCTCCTTGCAAACTTCAAGAAAACCAGGCTCGATATTATTTACTGCTTTCAATAGTATCTGGGAATAGGAAGGGGTACTTCGCCAATCCCTGTTGTGAATTGATGCACCGTTCATAATGAAATTTTCCCTGGGTATTAAATTTAATTCAAATAAAATTCAATCGTCGCCTATATTTCACGGGTAATTTCCAGTGTAATTTTATCCTGATTTCGGCGGGATTTATTTGCCGATAGATCAGCGATCTGTTATAAAAAACATTGTATACTCGACTTCTGATAACCATCTCGTGTGACCAATTCACGGTTGAAATAAACAGCCGGTTAATTCCCTGGCCGAAACTTCGTCGATGCAATTCCCGTTGCTCGTTCAACGATGATGTATCCGTGAATTTTTCCGTTACGCTTCTCTTCCTTTTTTTCTTTTATGCACCCCGCGTTATACCAATTTCTTTTGAGAAATCGTTCCATACAGAAAACGAGTTCACGCGTCCTCGGAGTAACGCGAGGAAACACGACTCGATTATGGACGATGGCAACGGTGTTCCAGGAAGAAATTACTTAGGCGTCGCATGCAACGATCATCGTGTCGGAGGATCAGGAGTTCGTGGAAACCCGGTCTGCGTATTCCAACGTTGTTCGCGATTTCACGCGCGTTTTACCGTCCTTTAACGGCCCCGTTATAGCGACATTTACCTCGCTAAATATTACATTAACGTCCCTCGGCAGGATAAATGAACGAGGACGCTAATAGCCGATTACGATTTATACGGGATGTTTCGGAAACAAGACACTTTCTGGAGCGGATTGTGTACAATTAAAGAATCAATATTTTCATATTTACGTCGACTAATGACGGGTATTAAATAAATCTTAACAAATCAATGGCACGTACATAAAACATCTTTGAAAAATGTATAGTTCAATTGTTGACAGGAAAGTTCAATATTTAAGGTGTGCTTAAACTTTTATTTGGCTAATTATTATAAAATCTACGGTGACAGATTTCTGCCAAGAATTGAACCATACATTTATCAAAGATGTTTTATGTACTCGTCATGGATTCGTTAAGATTTATTTAAGTATACGTATCTTCGCGAAATTCAGTCGATGGACATTGGAATCTTCAAATCCACCAATGGAATCTTGAAAAGTCTCCCTTTACGTGGCAAAGATACAGTAGAATCGCCCCTGATGCTGGTATGTACGTAATTCGAGATCGTTAAAATGGAATAGTGCCACCTGTTTTTACGTACCGAGGATCGTATAAATTCTCGATTCGGTCTTTTTCACTGTCTAGAGAGTCCTGCAATGACAATAATCGTATCGCGCGACGGCCGGGACGGTACGTTAACCGATGAAAATGACAAGAAAGATACGAGGCAATTACTCGGAAAGAAAGATCTCCAGAGGGGGGAGACGCCTCGTAAAGTTTCGACACACGAGGGAACCTCTGTAATCAAAAGTGCGTGGACGCGTGCTCGCCTGTTAATGGTTTTACTACAGTCCAGTCGTGGAGGGGAGGGTCTGATTAAAAGAAACAAAGAAAAGATAGTGAAACCGCTCTATCCTCGCCTGCACTAAATCTTGAGGAAACGCGTGTGAAAAGATAAAACTATTCCACGGGGAACGTAAAGCTTCGGGAGCTTTGTTAACGCAAAGATTTCCTTTTATCTCGGACGGGAACTTAAAAAGGTAATGCTCGCTTCGAAAAACGACGGTAAAGGGCCGGTTTTATGACGCGAACGTGACTTCTTCTTCTGCTCTTGAAACTGACAGCATCGGTGATTCTTCTGTTCTTTCTGAAGTTAACGCATGAAGTTCGAACGAGCCAAACTTTTTCTTCGGAACCTGATTACGTCGATTTCTCAAAAATCGCTGCTTATTGAGAAGGTTAGACGCATATAACCGTACCGTAACTGTTAGTGCGAATCTGGCTTGACGCGTCAGGTTCCTCGATTTTTCGATCGCGTTTCCACCACGTGAAACTCGCGCGACCGTATAAAACTGCGGTAAAAGTCGCATCGCGGCTCTTTCTCGATTCGAATTCCGGGACGAGAAAAGGATGTCAGCGAGCCGGAGAGGCAGCATTAACTCGACGGAAGAGCTCGCGTAGCCGACTGACATTGAAAAAAGAAAGAAAGAAAGGGAAGTCACTCCCACCCCCTTTTAAGTCGAGCGGGGATGAATAGCGAGCGAACGACACCGCCGCGGCGGCGCGGCGTAGCACAGCCGTAAGAACGGGATTCAACGCATTGCAAAGAAATTTGCTTCTTTGATTGACATTCAAAAGGAGCACTCCGCGCTTCCTTTAACCTGAATTATGAAAAGACAGCAGGGGAGGCTTGGTGGGGCGTGACGTCGCGGTGAATTTACCAGGCTGTAAGAGGAGGAAGAGGGACGCATTCTTGCGCGTAAAAGAGGCGGACGTAAATATTGACTCGCCAGAGCCCAGCCACGGGATCGTGCCTGGACGAAAATCGCGGGGCCACGGCGATCGCCAGGGAGTAGAATAAAACTATGATAACGATGAAAGTTTCTTACTCACCGGCTCTCCATACGGCATTTGCCCTCCCGCGCTTTGCAGTTGCTTTTGAAGTCCTCGAATATCTGGCTGCACGGTTTCCCGCGTAAACAAACGCTCAGCGCGTGGTTGCAGGTCGGCAGCGCGTCGATGGGGTACGGGTCCTTGTCTGGAAAGAACGGCGAGGCTGGGTTTATTTCAATTACATACTCGGAACGGAGTCGACGAGACCGGCAGAGTCGGGGTATACTGGTCTTTAGTTAACGTTTCCGTTTTTATTTAACGTCGCAATAATAATAATACATTTATAACAGTATTTAGAAGATGCGAAACGATAAAAATAATCAATAGATTCGATTGTAAATGGGTGAGATTCAGACATTGCTACTTTATAACTTTCTGCATTCCTAATGGTACACTGATTTTAGAAAATAAATCGCAGTTTTTAAGAAAGTAGAGGAGTTTTTGTTATTTATTAGTATTCTTTCTAGTTTGCCTTTATTAGGCAATGCAGTGATTTGTAGGGGTTAAGTTGCAGCAACGCGTAAAAGTCGAAGTATCACCGCAGTACTGTTATTAAACTCTTTTCTTGATATACATACAATAACAAGGAGTAATACATTACCACTCTCGTAAACGTATTATTACGCGTGAACAATATTCAGCCAAGCAAAATTAAAATTGCACATAACATTGGTTCGCTGCAGCATTCTTTTTTAATGCAACGTAGACTGAAGCCCCGTGGGGATCTCGAGCTCTCATCTCTTGGCACCGACTCGGTGGATCTATCTCGATGAATAAGAACACGATTGTATAGAGAGACGGTCGGTCGGTCGGTTTATCATTAAAATCCCGGGGAATTTCCGTGGCGAAGTTAAGATTCCAGGCGGGAAACAATAAGCGTGGCCTCCGATACGCGTCGAAAAATTAAGAGAAACGGGGCGGGCTTGCCTGGGCGAGACAATGCGTGACTAAACGAAAATCGTTGATTATTTACCGAGTAAAAAATTCGTCGCGCCATCTGCAGGCCGGAACCACGGGAAAAATAATTGTTGGCGAGCCAGAAAGCCGAGGTTCAGACGCGAAAATAATGAAAAGACGCGGCCGCGAAGGGCCAATGGAATAAATACAATAAGAAGACACCGGCGCCGGCGCCGGCGCTGGAAGGAAGAGGATCGAGAAATTTCCCGCGAATAATTTCAAAGGACCACCGCCCGTTCTCTCCGGCAATAAAAACGATCGCAATTAAACGCTGGCGGAAACTAATTCATTCGAAAACAGGTGAATCGAGGAACGTCGATGAATCGGGACGAAAATTAAAAAGAACGAGAATATCGGAGTCACGGTCTCTTACGATTTACCCGGTAAACAAGACCTGGGGAAAGAAATGTTATGAGCGGAAATGCGCGCAAGAAACGTTGTAGAAACAAAAGCCTCGATGAAGTAAGGATAATGGAGCGGAAAGGGACGCGAGCAGCAGGGGTGGATGACGATGAAGAAAGAAAAAAAAGGAAAGAGGGAAAGTTCCTCTCGCAGAATCGACAGGCAAGAAGAAAGCCATTCTTTTAACATTGGCACGGCTGGAGACGGGAAAGAGACAAGGGGGAGGGGGCGGGTTTCGTGAGAAGGGAGCGAGGGAGAACGGGCGGAAAAAAGGATCACGGCTGGAACAGCGGACGTGAGTGAAAAGAAGCGCATTGGGAATTATCCGTGAATCGTTCGAAAATGCTCAAAAGACTCGACGGCCCGGACGAACGAGCCCTCGGGAAAATGAACAATGGAGATCGCAGAAGAAGCCGCAATGGCGCGGAGGTTATATGTATAAGGGGGCGAAGGAGTGAGGCCTGCAGTCAAAGGTATCGCGATCCTTTTGTTTCTTCCAGGAGAGGGCCGCGACCGAGCTCCCTTCTTTTCATCGAAAGGAAATGCCCGGTTGAGTGGCACCTCGATCAAATTTTTCTTCTGTTGCATCCCACAGCCACCGGCGCGCGGCCCGCTCACTCCTCCGTGTCCGCGATAACTTCCCTCCGATTAACTCCGTCTGATACGTCACGACCAGAGGAAAAAAAAAGTAACAGGGGAACATGACTCGAGCGATCTTTAGCACGGCGAGTTGATTTAGAAAGCTGAAGGCACAGATGAGAGACGGAAGCTGGTAAGAAAGTAACGAAACGCACACTTTTCTTCCCCGAGAATGTATATTTTAGTGAAGTTGTAGGAAAGAGGAAGTTCAAGGGTCACTGAGCATCCAGCGAGAAACTTTAGTGGAAGAAGTTATTGTTACCACGCCAATTACAGCGGAAAAGCCCGTAGAAACTACTTTCGACTTTGACTTGCTTCTCCAAGATGTGTTCACGCAAGTTACTATGGCTTTTAATTAATTATGTTTTAACACAAACATTTAAAGTAACTTGTGTTTGGTACATATATATTTGTGAGTAAAATGTGCACACAACATAAGCTGTTTTAAATGTTTTATCATCCATTCTAAATGTAAGATAATATCGGAGAAGACATTCTGATCCCATCCCTTCTCAGAGGTTTTACATTTCGTAGTATAGAATGATTTTTTACTTTCATTAATGAGTGATGAATCCTATCTTGCAACCCCCTCTATACGGCAAAAGGAATAGCCCGACACATAACGAACCGATCTGACCTGGATATTTCACATACGACACGAATAATAGCAACAACTAAGCAATTACGCCAGTTCTCAGACGGATGAAGATAAACAAATTATCGTATTGGGAAAGCAAATCCAGAAATATCCCGAGCGTAATACAATTAGAAACATGCCGGCGGAATTTCTGCCGCGAAAAGAAGTTCCACGAGTAACGTCAGTCTTCATTTCACAAGTGAACAACCTCACAATCGAATAAAACATTATTTTCTAATAACACGTACGAAACGACCGATAAAATGATAAAGGTGACGCGAAAGATATTAGGACTCGGTAGCACGGAGATGCCCGTAGAGTGGGTGAGGGGGAACGATTCGTATAATTCGTGTGTAACGAGTCAAGCAATTAGAAGAGTTCGGCCAGAAGCTTGATTACATTTATCCAGGTTGTATAAGCTATACGGACGGCTGAAAGCCGGTCATACGGGAGGGAAACCGGCGGATAATGGAAGCTCACCGCCGCGGCTGCTTCGAAAACGCGGGGCCAGGCTTCGGCACTTAATGAGATTAAATTCGCTCTCGTGCTCCCTGGGCCGAGCTGTAGGGGCTGGTAGGGCGCAAACAGAAAAAAAAAAACAAAAAAGTGGAAGAAGAGGAAGGACACGAAGGAAAGGGAAAACCCGTCGGAGCAGGGGAGTGGGAGGGTGCTGGGAAGAAAGGAAAAGAAAAGGAAGAAAGGAAACGGAGGCCTGGCAAAGGCACGCGCGCGCCTCCATTTTCCCCTGTTAAACGCGCAAAGATCCCAGGCGTGGCGTTTCCACCCTCCCTGCCGGAGTCAACGTCAGCGGCAGAGTCGACTGAAAGGTAGGAACGCGCGTTCCAGCTTATGCAGCCAGCTTTTGAAGATTCCCGGCCGTTCCGGCAGACATAAAAAGATCGCGGGGAGATGCGAGTAGGGGAGCCGGAGGAAATCAGTCCCACGCTTTTCATGTCGATGCGTCGAGTGTAATATGTTGCACGCGCGATCATTCCGGGGTTTCGCTCTCTCTCTCTCTCTTTCTCTCTCTCGCCACTTTCGCGCGTCAAGCTTTTCCTTGAGAGCGCTCGTGGTAAATTTGATGAAAAGCCTGGTTCCTTTCACCGTGAAACCTCGCGCTACTCCCGGAACGAGTAGAAGAAAAAAAGTGTGTTGCGCCTGCCTGGGTTTTCGAGACTCTTCGCTATTCCTTTATCTCGTGGCCGAAATGGAATCCGACGTAGTATTGTTTAGTCGTATCGGTTCTTATGTGTTTTTCTTTCGAGTGCAAACGGGGAAGCAAATATTTCTTGATGGAAGATTGCGAACATTAATTGAAGAATCATACGAAACTATAACTTTCATCGTAATAATGATTACTCCCGCGTTATGAGCACGAGGTCGTGAACAAAAGCGCTGATTAAAAAAATTGGACAATCCAACAACTGTCGACAATCGCATTACGGAGCGGTCAATTTTCGATAAATTTTCGGTAGATAAAAAATTTACTAAAAACAGTCGTTCGAGACGGAAAATTGTTGGGAGTGAACAATACAGTTTCAATGGAAGTCCAGTGAAAAAGGTGCAATCGCATGTTCGGCGATGGTTGAGAGACTTTCGGATAATCTTCTTGGCGCGGTGAAAAGTCGCGAAGAATGAGGGGAGCAAATATCGCGAGCGATTTTTTGAAGTATACTCGAGCGTACCCCGATTCTTTTCGCTCGGGGCCGGCTCAGAACGCGTGTAATGCAGGACAGAAGTACAGATTAAACAAGAAACGAGCGGCGTTGCGACGGGACGCCGGGATTATTGGAAACGTTGCGCGCGGAACGCGTGTTCGCGACTCGTTAAAAGTTCCCGAGGATCGTTTCTGGCCTGGGATCGAGAGCGTCCAGAAAAAGAGAGAAAGAGAGAGAAGGTTCCCGGACGTTGGAACGGAATCCCTCGTTACAATCGCGGCTCGCGATTAAACGCCTGTTGGAGGATTAACGCGTGGTCGTGATCTGTCCCGTTTTTTCCACTGGGACCAGATTGATCTAAATTGATTTCCGTTGTCGTTCCCGATTAGTCGTCCAGTTTTCAACGAGATCACGGTGTGACTTTGCGCGATAAAGGTTCGCAAAATTTATATTTTAAAAAGCATAAGAAAAAAAAAACTTTTCTATTGCAACGGTAGTTCTCGGGTATCATGGGATAAAGAAAAAGAATATTTAATTCTATATTTCTGCAGCGACTTACTCCGTGAATTTCAACGTAGTTGCTGCTTAGACGGCGTAACTGGCGAAAGGAAATTGCGACCGTTTTTGCAAAGTGCTCGAAAAGATAAAACAATTTCCTTCCTCGGAAGCTTACCCTTCTTTAAGACGTAGATGCAGGGATGGTCGAAGAGGAAGTTCTGGAAGCTGTTGCAATCCGGATCTACGTTTGGCTCCCTGCAGAGGCACGTGGGGCGGAAGAAAGGGAAAGCTTGCAGTGTGTGCAGGGCCGCTTGACACTTTGTCACTGTCACCGTCGAACAAGCCACTGGAACAGTTAAATTATTATTAAGCGGGACGGGCCCATCGCCGATGACAAATATGCTTTGGGGGGGGGGGGGGGGGGGGGGGGGGGAGGGAATAAATTCTCAAGTTGAACACGCGCAACCTTGCGTCGCCGTAACATGCATCGCAGTACGATGTTAATTCGACATCGAGTGGCACAATTACCAGAGACAAAGGGAGGCAATCTCCTGTTCCCTTTGGTATAATTAACAATTTCAGTCGTAGATACTTGTACAGGAAACGTTATGTCAAAGACACTTGTTCACATTCGATACGGTACGTTATTAAGTCATGATTAAACTACTGGAGTATTATATTCAAGAACTACCGCGGTGCCTACCAACAGTTTTCGACTATCGATCGGAATAACGTGAGATTTCGAATTTGCTAGTATCGAGGGCATATAACAGGGCCCGAGACCACACTAAACGTTTCGTTGAAATTCGTCTAAGCGTACGCAGTACCTCAGTCAAGACAAGGAATTAATTTGCTTTCGCGAATGAACGGAAAGACACGTGTATCAAGGTATATGGGAGCTTCGCCGCCAAGTTGTTTCCTCTCCCTGTTTCCGAGAGGATTACATTTCATGCGCAATAATTGCTAGAAGACGCGTCGGTGGACGTCAGTAATGCCTACCTGTGAAGACCGCAAAATCCCATCGAGAAATTCGGTGTAACGCCAGCCGGAAGGCTCGACAGCGAGATTATCGTGCAAGAATGGAAAGCTCGCGTTACACCGCAGGGAGCAATGGGAAGTCCTATAGTTGGGAAACCGACGATAACACTCGAGGTGCCTTGATCGCTTCAGCAACAACGGCTGAAGCTTCTGTAACCGTAGCTTCACTCTGCGCAACGACCGCAGACCTTCGACTGAATGTCGAGCTCGACACCGAGCTACCTTTCAGTTCGACACAGCACGGGAGTGTACGAAATTTCGAAGATTTATTAGCGATCTCGAGTCGGGTAACGAGACAGGACCTACCAATGAAACATGATCTTGAAAGCATCACCGAGAGCATCTCCTCTAGTGACTCTTCAATTCTAACATATCTTTGTTGCGAGGTCTCGTTCTCGAAAACATTAATTTTGAGAATTCGTGGAGCATACGTGCTTCTGAATACGGCCGACATTGTGTCTGTCTAGTACTCGCTATTTCTACTTATAAGAGACGGGAGTAAATCATATTATTATTTATTTTTACGATAAGATAATACCATACAATTATTATACTATACCAACAAGATTCATATACATTGACCGAAGTAGAAATGACTGATAATGGTCAGACAGGAGATCTATTACACATATGTGTAATACGTGGTGTTTAGTGCACACATAAGAGACAGAACGTTCGATATTGATTTTATTAAGATACGAATACCGATATAGGAAATCTGATGTATGATTTTCCATCGATTCGTGACACAAACCAATGGGAACCTAACTGAAGATACAAAGATTAGTATAATTAAGGGATACCTCCGAATACAAGAAAGTATTTTCAAGACTTTTCCCTCGCAGCTGAAAACTTCATTTTCTACCGAACGTATCCGAAACTCGTCTGACTTACGATAGACCGTTAGCCGGTCCAGAATCCAATCGATCCGAGAAGGCCGCCTCCCGGTACGCCGCGTATAACTTCCCCGAAACCCGGTGGAAAGATGGCAAACGAAGAGTCAGTGCTCTATCTTAAATTAAACATTAACTTCTGGCTGCCAGAGTGTTTTACTTTTCGCTTTGTAGACCGAACTAGCCCGTACGATCTTTTTCTCCTTCTTTTCTTCCCTTTCTCCTGTATTTCCACCCCGGTACCGGGCGCGCGCCCTCTTATTTCCTCGTCGACGGTGGCCCCGTCGAAATTGGGTCGCGACGAACCCGCGATGGTTAATGACATATCCATTGGCCCGCAGGAGCTCTTTCCGAGAATTTCTCGGACCGAAGCGAACCGATTTCGTTCTCAGATTCCACGGGATCAACGCTTAGATGAGGTCAAGTTACCTACACACCGAGGATCGAAATCGAATCAATTCTCGTTGGACACACTGAGTTTTTCGTCGTCGACGTAAATCGAGATTATTCGATAAAGAGACGATAGTGCTCTCTCTTCTCCGACATTGCCGTATCCTCGAAAGGGTGCAACTAGAAACTTCGGTCGTCATTTTTCGAAGTGACATTCGACGGCGACGACGACATCTGGATTCATTACTTATACCTCGCCGCTGCAGCTCCTGGTTATTACGAAACTTACGGTGTCTTGGAATAGTAATTAAGCCGCTCTCTCGCTCCCATTCTTTCTTCGAACGACGCTGTACTAATTAATCTGCGTACAGGAGAATCTCGAAAAAAAAAAATGAAATAGCACAGGAATAGAACGGGAAGTTGAAACCGTTTTAACGAGGAAATATTTTAACTCGTGACAATCGTCGCCCGAGTAATGTCCACGACTGTCCCCCCCCCCCCCTAGGTCGGTCTTCTCGACGTTTTCGTACGGAAATCATAACTCTGATCTTAATTGAAACGAATAAATTTCATACACGCGGGCACTGTTACGGCGTCCGAGAAGCCACGGCTTGTTGTCCATCGCGAGAACTTCGTCCGAGATTGAAATTAACGGAATCGAGAGCAAACTCCGCACTCAAAGGAGCCAACTAACTCGACATTTTCTGTGTGCTTTGATGATCTGACAATTTAGCACCACATCAAGGCTAATTGTACTATGGCTTTCTGCCCTATGATCTTCGAAACGATGAACATCGGTAAAAAGAAACAAGAATCGTAGATCGAGATAATACGTTTTCTGTAAAGGATGCCGCCACGTTAAAGAGAAAACGAACTTAACACTTGATAGAAAACTGTGAATCGACATCCAACACCGCCAGAGCTCAAAGTGAACCGAACGAATACACGGTCTCTAACTAACATTACAAAGAACAAATATGATCGATGTCTGTATGCTATATCATCATCTCCGATCTTTCTCCTACACCCACGACAAGTGGAACAGAACGATGAACCTTCTTTCGTCGACCATGCCACCCATAAAAGCATACAGTTAACAGATTTAACGAGACGATCCTGTTCCAGCGAACGGGGTCAGTAAAAACAACCGAAAGAGCAGCGTTTATGGAGCACGCAACATGTTATTCCGTAGAATTAAATCGATGGTTGAAAGCGGTGTGGGGTCCTTTGCTCGGCAGACCGTTACAATACACGGTGTTGCACAAAACCCCAGGATCTGGCAGCTGCAGTTGCAGCTGCAGCACTGCTGATACCGTCCAGCCTCCATTCCCGTTTAATGCTTTGCTGACGCGCCTACGCGGTATGCACTGGCTCGCATGGCCACCGGTAGATAGCGACTTCGTGAACGACAGAGAAGTCCCGGAGAAAGCAGCAGAGAGAGTGAGAGAGATTGAGAGAGGGTACGGTGGGAGATCATACGTACATACGTTCGTACAATCGTGCGGTGGCCATCTGCATTCTGCGAGCTGGACCGCCGACCACTGTCCGAAACACGCGGACTGTGTTTCCATGGAGCGCGCAGGTGATGGCCCCGACCTGTATTCACAGCTCGCGTCCCATTCCCTGTTTCGATCCCTTTCAACGACTCGCTGAATAAAAGTTTCCGACCGCCGCCACGGCAGCCAACCCGCGCGACCCGGATCGGAAATTTCGGCTACGGTTAGTTTCGAATTAGTTGTTGTCGTTTCTGCTCACCCAGTGGGAGAAGAGATTTCTTTGTATGGGAATCTGTTGATTTATTCTTACGTGTTATGGGCGTAGGTGAGAAAAATGACTTACAATTAATGGAAAGTTCTCGCGTTCTTAATACTTCGAGGGCTGGTGCGCTGTTGTAGACTTAAATATGAAATTCATTTTATATTATTTTCGAGACAGAAATGTATGACATCGATCTTCGAAGCATTAAAAGATAGTAGACTTGTTTATTTAATACGATACATCACGTCTGTAAATTACCGAATAGATAAAATTATACCCCGTAAAGGTTGTGGGGAGTGTAGGTGTCTAGCAATCCGATAGGTGGACCAGTTTCTTTCCTACAAATTGCTCTTTCTCTCGCTTCGGTCTCATCTTTCAATCAAACGTTTTCTTCGCGACCACCGTCGGATCATTAGTCTCTCTAAATGAATGTTCTTTCGCCTTGGGGAAGAACGATGGCGCGGCAAGAACTCCCAACTGAGGTTTTTTTTACAATTTTTATAACCGCCCGCGGGAGATCCTCGCTCGGAGAAGGAATTCCCGGGGATGGTTTCATTAGAACAGCCGTATTATTTCGTAAGTAACAACTTCAGTTCGCGTGGAAATGGCCCGGTTCTTGCGATGTATAACGACCCAATTATATCGAGATCACGGTGGTCTACTTTTTTAGTCCCTGCGTCGCGGTACGTTCTTCACGATGCACACAGATTTGCAACGTAATGCTGTTTCAGATCGAAATACACAAAGCTTCGTTATCATTGAAATTGAAAACAAAGTCGACTCTTGACTGTATCGATGAATACGGTATTGTGCCTGTGATCTTCGGTGTCCGTGATATTGTCGACTGTTACAGAGCAGCGGATAGAAATATAATCGGAGAAACGAGCCGTATTCCATGTCGTCTCGCGCTGAACGACACATAAATTAGAATCAGGACGTAGTCGGAAAAATAAAAACGCGTGTTAAAAGGTCGATAAAAAAGATTCTCCGCGGAATCGCGATTCAATGGCGGACGAATTTATCGATACTCGTGAAACGAAACGTTTCTCCGGTATTTTCATTCCGATATTCCCGGGCACCTAATTTACCGTTCGCCAGTTTCCTCGTCAGGTGAAAATGCAAACGGCCGTGGCACGCGTACAACCGTATCCCGGATGAAACACGAGCATCGTCCAATTGCATCGCATTCCATTCAACTTTATTACGTCAAAAGCAACCGCGAATCGCGGGAGGGGCCAAAGCGATGGAAAAGTCGTGCAAACTGATT